ATATTATATTGTTTTAATATGTAACGCTAATGGAAATTTCGAAAGTCATCAAAGAAGAAGATATTATAGTGGATGGAATATTATTTAAATGTTAGGCTATGCTGCATGAACAGTTAACCAGAACTCAAAACGAGAGAAAAATTATCGTCCATTTTTAACTCACGAACTGTTGTAAAAATATTTGGTGTCCGAATTCACTTCAGAATGTGTGTTGATGTGATAAATCAGTATTGCTGCAGTAAAGGAAACATGTTTTGAACAAACATGCTAACTATGCTACACGCTTCTCATTAAATGACATGCTGCAGCCTGGAGCAGATCTGAGATAATGATACAGACGTGCAGTTGGATACCCTGCAATCAAAGTAATCAAAGCAATAATTACAGCTGTGACAGCTCTGCTAATTTGAAGATTCYAGTGGGTGTGTCATGTACCTGGCTGTAGGGGGCTTCCGGCTCTTCTAACCTCAACACATCCAGGATGTTGACTGGGACGTAGCCCGTTTGCCCGCTGCGATTCCGTAGTTTCCACCACTGTTTGTCGTCCTCTATCACCTGCAAGAGTAATAACACACCTCACTCCACAGCACTGAAGACTGAGACACAAACTCCCAATGAAAAATATAACCATTTATGTATGAAGGGTAATTTTGGTATTGCAACCTCCAGAACTTCATCCTGCAGCACTGACAGCTCGTTGGCATTCCTCGCCACAAAGTGGTAGCGAATTTTGGCATATTTGCGACTGCTGGGCGACCTGACGAGAAACATTGCATCACAATTTAATATTCTTTGAGTAAAGACACCGAAATGTGTGAGAAGGATTTTAATATTTACCCATTCAGCGGAGGAGGAGGAGGACTTTCGTAATACTAGAAAACAAAAGAGATTTGTGTAAAGATAGTCAGAGTTTCAAGTGTCGCTGATAACAAGTGAAAGCTTTACATCTTCATGAGAGTGCTTCCTGTAATCGGGGCTGGTGGGGGACCCGAGGGGTACAGATGGTCCCTCAGTTTCCCACGGGGCCGTCATGAAAAGCTCGGCCGGTGGCTCCCAACCGTTCCGAAATCTGGGGTAATACGGAGGAGCGCATTGATCCCTGGGCCACTCCGCTCTGCAGGAGGAAGAGGAGGAGGAGGAGTGAAGGACCGGTCAATATGCACATGAGTGAAGCCGGAGAGCAGCAATAAGCCACGTTAAAATGTACCTGGGTTTGGTCCACCCGTCTCCGAGCAGCTCAAAGATGGTCATCTCTTTGGGGGTGAGGTGTCCCCGCAGGAAGTCCACAGCATCTTTAGAAAGGTGAGGCGCGATGACTGAACGAGCCAGTTCAGGACTCCCACAGCTCTGCAGCACCTGAGAGCACATTTTCACGTTTTTAAGTTACGGATGACCGAGGCGGGGCTGTACATGGGTATAATCAAGAAGTCTGAGCCTGACATGCTCCAAGATCCAAACTTAGGAGCAGAAGTGATCGTGCTTTTGCTGTATCTGCTCCCAATCTATGGAACAACTTGACCATTCACATTAGATCTGCACATAGTTTGGAAAACTTCAAAGTGCTTCTTAAGGCTCACTTTTATTATAAGGCATTTACTGTATTTATTCATGTATATTACTAGAAATTTAATCCAAAAAATCATCCATAAAGTGGAGGGGTAGTAGTATACATGGGTTATTGATGATTAATAGGGATGCACGATATAGCGGCATTAACATTGATAGCGGCCCGATATGTAAAACTGGGCCGATATTAACATCYGATACCGATTTCCCACTTTTTAGCTTTGTGTTTGTGTTTTTGTTTTGGGAGGTGAAATGTTTGGTCGAGCGGTATCTGTTTGATCATGATGGTGATACTGATGCTGTGCCGCCAGGAATAACTGAAGTAGAGAAACATGTCAGAGGTCTGRTCATTTATTTACGGTATCGAAAAAAGACAAGTGTGTTTTTGCGTATATGTATAATGTAATTTGTGTGTTTGTACAATACTGGTAAATATCGGTTATCGGCCATAACAGCAATAATTATATCGGATATCGAAATTGGCTGAAATTTTCCTATCGGTGCACCCCTAATTATTAGATTTTTAATGCTGTTAAGCTCAAAAAATGATCGTATTATACTCAAGATCGTATTATACATGAATAAATGCGGTAATTAATACAACTGGCATTGTAATTTTTATCTGTTCTTAATATTGTTTGTTGTAATTTATTATGTATTTTAGCATTTTTTTGTGTTGTTTGTGGATTGCTGTGCAGCACTTTGGTGCAGCAATTGACTGTTTTTAAAGCGCTTTATAAATAAAGTTTGACATTGATATTCAGAAGTGAAAAGGTTAAAGTATGACGCCATCTTGATGCAACATTCTGATAACAAAATAAACTGCATTTCTCTCAAAAAAGTAGAATGACTTTGCAGAAAAAACTGAAACTGAGTTGGCAAAGCTAAACAAAGTGAATGCTAATTTAAAAAAAACAGAACATGTTAACTAAATGTAACAAAACACTAGCCTAAAGCTAAATGTAGCAATATGCTAAAAACAAAACGCTCAAACGTGACGAGGTCAAAAACCCTGCCTTGTTTTGTTGTTTTGCCTCAGGAACTGAAACTAAGCAAAAAACGCTTCATCTTACTGTTAATCCGTATGCAGAAGCGTGCAGAATAAAACATTGATTTGCATTATTATTTATTTCATTGCAACCTCTAAAAAAGTAGATGCAGATGAAGCGACAGCTAAAACGCTGTCTTTTGCTAGTTAAATGAAGCAAAAATGAAGCAAGTAATGCATGACAGCAGCTGGTTTTTCTGTGCAGAAGTATCGAAGGCGTGGCCTGGGAAACCAACATCACCCGAGCCACGTCGCTCCTGTTGGGCGAGTGCGACGGTAAAGCAGTAGGGTGTGGTGTGAGAGAAAATAAAAATAAAAAGACTAATACTAGATTGGAGAAAAAAAATGTGAGTTATGCACTGTGTTTAATTTAATGAGTCTTTTGCTTTCCTGGGTTTCATTTAATCTGTAGCCTCAGATCTGATTAAACTGATTTTACAGAAACAACTAATTCAGCAAAAATATGCATTCATTGATACTTGGATTTAAAACAAACACCAGGTCACACTTAAAAACCTGATTTTCAGCTCTTACCAGCTCCAGAGGGCTGAAAAGGAAATGAACGAGCTCAGAGGCACTGGGGTTCTGCAAGTGTCTCTTGAGTTTGGCCTGCAGGGGGCAGAGTGACAGAAACACAGAGTTAAGGAACGAGCAGGGAGAACAAGAGGATAAGAGCTGCGATATCTCACCAAGAGGTTGAGGGAGAGCTTCAGTTTCTGCAGACTGTCAAGGAACTCCGCTTCAGTGGGGGGCTTGGCTCGCAGGGTCAGCATGCCCTCTGTGACCACACACAGACTCCATAGTTACCAACTCGAGCCAAAGACGAGTTTCACTTTCTGACCAAGGTTCAGAGTTATAAAAGCTTTTCTCTTTCTTGTTCCAACAAAAAGCTTGTGACCTTAACGACGACTGGTTAATAAGCAGCTTCAGAAAATAAAAAAAGCTCATTCAGGTAAAAACGATTGTGCAGCTGCAGAGTTAGCCTGTGAGGAAAAAAAAAGTATCTGCAAAATTGTGTCCCGGCTAAATTCTAAAATGCTTTTGTTTCTTTTACATACACAATCAGCCACAACATTATGACCACCTGACTGAGATGGAGTAGGTCTCCCTCTGAGCTGTCGGTGCATAAACAGAAAACTTCTGAAGTTGTTTTATAACGGGTCATCAGACTCCTGTAGGTTGGTGGTTTTTTGTGAATGAATCTTACACATGCCATAAGATTTCCTCAGATTGGTATCATCAGGAGTATAGAGCTGGGTGAAAATCTGTCTTTTTCATGTTTCACTTGACGTCTAATGAAGCTGTGCTCCTTTCAGGTTGAGATGAGAATGACCACATAGAGCTTGTCAGACATTGTAGGGTCTAGAAACTGTTTGAAAAAGAAGTCTAAATGGGAGGTGTGTATGTTTGAATATCAAGTTCAACATTAAAAGTTAAACTTTTTGAAGATCTTTGTGTATCCACCAGTATTGTCAAATGTGGGTCAGAGTTTGCTTTTAGAGGCCGTTTTGCAGATGGACCGTGATCCACTGCAGTCAGCATGTTGGATTCTTGTTCATTATGGAGGTCATCTCCAGAGATGGTCCCATTTGGGTTTTATTATTCCATTTTGTTTTGTAGATGTGCGATTTTATCGTCTCTTCTTTGGAGTTTTCTTTCAAGAGATTATCTTTTTTTCTTTCATCTGTTGAATTTGTTTATTTTCCTCTTTTCTGTCTTTCAAGTTGTCATTTAAAGTTGTTTATTGCATCAGTCATTTGTGTTTTTTTTTTGTTTTCCCCAAGCAGAAAATCAAACTGTAACAAAATATGAAGCATTCTGAGATCTACATGTGTTCATGGCTGATTAAAAAAAATAGTTTAAATGCAAAAACTTGATGTTGACAAATTGCTTGAATATCAGTCTTAAAGCTGGATAATAGATCCTCTGCTTGAGGAATTCATGTCATTTACCCTGTTATTACCAAACAATGTTCAGGAAAGTAACACTATAGTCACCTCTAACCACACACAACACACACGCGTTTGTTCTTCTATCCTCATGGAGACTTCGCATTGACTTTTATTCATTTTCCAGTAACTTCTATAGCCCAACCCTGAGCCCTTACCCTAAATGGAACCTAAACTTAATTCATATCTTAGTCCTATATCCTATATTGAACCCCTGACCCATCAACAGTATTCCCCCCAAAAGGTACCGGGCTTTTGTCCCCATTAGGAACAGTGGGTTCTCACCAGGTTGTGTGCACCAGGAAAACGGTTATAAATCATCTCCACCAGGTGGCAAAAACTTGTACACAAAAACACACACAAACACACGTGTTTCACTATCTTTGTGAGAAATGCATTGTCTTCCATTAATTCCTACAGCCCAACCTTGACCCCTAAATCTAACATCTGACCTACAAATGTGGTTGCCCCATGTGTGGATCAGGCAAAATGTCCTCACAAGACATTCCAATTGTCACAAAAATGTCCACACAAAGATAGCAAAACATACACACACGAACACAAAGCATGTTCTTGTAGCGTCTCCTGTTACATGTATAGAATGACTTGTTCTGTTGATGTAAGAAAACAGTTTCTGTTCAAGATGTCAATATTTTGTTTCAGAACATATATATAACAAAAATAGATTTTTATTACATTTTAAATCAGCTTGGGTGTTGGTGAAACGGTAACTATATATCATCAGCATTAGGATGAGGTAAATAATCAGTACCATAAGTGATAATTGCCTAAAATGACCACCACACAAACATGTTTGGAATGTCCCGGGTCACAGGACACACAGTAGAACCAAACATGACAACGTGGAGCAGTACGTCCACTGCAACCTTGTCACCACAGAAGAAGAAAGGGGGACAGACCTGCTGGTCCTTTCTTCTTATTCTTCTTACTCTTGTTGCGCTGGTTGAGCTGGGAAAAGGCCTCTGCTGCCTTCTGCAGCCGCGCCACAAAGATCTCTATGTCATCCAGGGCACAGTTGAGGATTTGCTGAGGAGGAGAAAAAAACAAAACAAAAAACAACAACAACAACAAAAAAAGAAAAACACAGGCTTCAGGCGTCATGATCTCATGAAGTGAGGCGTGTCTCTCCATCGTGACGAGTGTCGCTCACCACATCCTTCTCGATGCGCTGAGCCAGCTTTTCGTGCGACTCAGAATCAGAAGCTCGCCTCTCTGTTTCCAATCACAAAATATAACGTGACCGAACAATAACTGGTGATCGCACAACTGAAACAACACAAACATTAGATGTTCTTTTGTCAGTGTATTCTTACCTGGAGGGTTTGCAGCAGCTTCCACTCGTCGATTCCTCACAGGTGGGGGGCCCCTGGGGGCCGACGGAGGGAGGATGGTCTCTCTGTGACGCTTCATTTTCTCCTGGTTCACCCTGAAAGAGGGTAAATCATAAATACATCATTTCTATGTGTGTGTGTTTGAGAGACAATGGGTGCGAACGTATTTGTGTGCTGGCAGCATTTTTCTCACTTCAGAGTCTGAAGTCTCATTTTCTTTCCATGCTTGTTGTCTCCAATGGCACTATCTACGTCTGCGTGAACCATCTCAGCCTTAAAGAAGAAGACACACACACAAAGCCATAAAGAGTAGTTTAAATTTTAATCTCTTATTTTAAATTATATTTCAGTTTCTTTCTTTGACCTTAAAGATTTGATTTTGTGTGCCACGAATTTGGGACGGCTTTAAAACCGACCTGTTATCTGCCTTAGAATGCATTAAGAGCACCGTAAAACTGAAAGACACTTAAGGACACGTCGCAAATAAAAAAGGCCCACACTAAACTAGGGCGTGTAAAATCCTCTGCTCTGACTCACCTCCACCTCGTCACAGTGGAAGAAATGGATGTCGGGTCGGTGTTGTTCCTTGTCCTGACACACGAGCAGCAGCACGGACGGGTAGCGTGTCTGATTCAGCACCGTCTGACAAAGCTGGATTGTGGAAACAGGGAAGTTCTCCAATTCTTCCTGCAGGAAGATGAAAGACAAAAAAAAATTTATAAAAAATTCTTACAGGAGGAAAGAGGTGAAGCGTGAGCTCTGCCACGCTATAATAACAGCGGAAAAATACGTTCTGTTCAGCACATCTGGTTAGACAAATACTGTTGCATTCCTAAACACAGAGCAGCTTTACCACCAACATGCTGGTGGATTTTCTCCCACAGACAGATCACAGTTACCTTTAACTTGATATTTTCAAAACATTAACTTCTATTCTTTAGAAGAATCACTTGCGCACCTAGAGCATGTGTTTCAAACCGAAAGCCCGCGGGCCAAATCTGGTCCTTGTTAACATTTTATCTGGCTTCAAAGGTAATATTTTAAATGTAAAATAGTTTTACAGTTTCTTTTTTTGGAACTGCATTAATTGTGTTCTTCTCATGACAGCTGGCCAAACTTTAAGCCAAGAAAAATAAGTTAGAATTTTTCAGTAATCTTTGATTTTCTGTGGAAAGAGTAACAGAAARTCAACTCTAATTTTCTTTTCAGTATTCTCTCTATTTGCAATATTTTCCTGCTATATAAGCATCAAAAATTCCTTTTGAGATCTTCAGAAATATTTGCTTGTATTTTATTACACTACCACAAACATAAAAGTTAAAGCATAAAGTTAGGTAGTAAATGAAGTGATAGTTTACTTTAACGATTTTATACACAGGTACCTGTGTATAAATCTCAAAATGTTTTAGGTTTAAAAAATTAAGGGGTTCAGTGAGTTTCAAAGACAACTGGAGAAACTCACTTGTTGGATAAACAATAATTAACATTTTATTTACTTTCCCCCTGAAAATACCACCTATAATATTCCAACAGCATCCTTTGATAAATCATTATTAACATGTTTATAAACCATTATTGTTTACAAGTGTCTAGTAAGTTTATAAAATTGTGTTTTGAACAGTTTTAATTTCATGTTTAAAAAAATTAATTAATTAAACAACTTCTCAATGGACAGAAACTTGATGTGTGGAAACACTTGTAATTAACCAGGTGGTTTGTGTGAGCAGCCGTACCTGTGTGTCACAGTCCAGCAGCCTGACTGCCTTGTCAGTGACCTGCAGGAGCATCTCCTGGGTCCAGATTTTGTCCTTCGAGTCCAGAAGAACCAGTTTCTTGATGGCATCGTCTACTGTGACAATAGACTCTGATTTGTCCATAACGAACGTGGAGAGATGCTGAGGAGAAGACAGCTGTTAGTGACCGCTGACAGCTGCATCGAAGCTAGCAAAAACACGAGCATATTATCTAATTTGAAAAACATTTTATATTGAATGAAAAGGTCAATGCGCCAACTTCAAAATAAATATGTTTGCTTTGACAAGAAACTGGATGAAAAGTTTAGCTTTAGCCTTGGTCTATATATGAAATTAAATGTAGTTAGCTTAGCAGTTAGCATCTGAAATTGTTGCTAAAGCTTTGTTTACTGACAGCAAATCCTTCAAACTGTTATTTCAGATAATTAACATATTTTGTTCCACTACGCTACAGCAAGAAAAATACAATAAAATTGAGGTAATTTGACCTCTATAAATGCCATAACTCATGTAATGCGTTGTTTTAACCCTTAAAGAATCAATCTTGGTCATAAATTGGCCTTTTTGACAAAAAAAAAAGATTAAAAAATAATCTTCATTGTCAACAAATAATAAAATTTCTCCAAAGTAATACCAATTAAATTCAAAAAAATTATGTAAAAAAAAATAAGCATTAATATTCACCCCGTTAAAAGTGACTGTTCTAATTTTACTTAAAGAAAGTACAAGTCAAGGGATGAATACAAATGGTACAAAGTTCTAAACTTCCCAGGAGTTTTTTTTAAATCTATCATTAAGAAACTTCACAAACAACGTGAAGTCTTCCATACGCCGGCTTTCAAACACTAATACAATCAGCATATTAAACACACAAGCATTAGAGTTGTACAGATTTTATAATCTCTGTAGATTTAAATAGTTTTTTATATAAATATGACTAGCAAATACTTGTACAGAATGTTCTGAAAAACCCTTAGCTGGTAACTGAAGTTACACCTTTTATATCTAATTTCATGATTGTTGTCATTGTTAAAATATCTTAGACATTTTGTTCATAAATGACAATGGAATTTAAGTATTTTAGGAAACCATAACTGTATAGATCTGGGACATGGTTCCTCCATGATCCACAGTCAAACCACAGTTTTTCTAACATCAGCTCCATGGAGCTGTGGCCAGAGTACAGAACAGTTTCCATAAACGCAATCAGGGTATGGTAGACGTGAGCTTTTATCTCTGGGGTGAAGGAAAAATTATACCATCAGCTCATAATACACTCTTTATCTATGTTCAGTTTAAACTATTTTGTAACTAGTTAACATGTTTAAAACAAACAAAAAATAAAACAAAAACAGAAAAAACATTAGAAAATGAATAACAAAAATACACTCATACGGAACCAAGTATATGTGGGATTATGTCTTCCTTCCAAATATAAATAAACAACTTTGTGTTTTACTTAGACAAAAACCTAATTGTTAGTTGTTTTTTTATGTAAAGTACCCAATGATAAAAGCATTAAACTATCACCATTTTAAGTGTTAAATTTAAAATCTGAATATATTAAGGATTAGGAAATTACCTCGACATGATACTGCGACGTCTCCTGCATGATGAAATTGGAGTTGGAGTATTTTTTTCGCTGTTCTGTGGACAACAAAAACAAAAAGTTAGCGCTCTTCTGAGAAACTGCAGTAAATCCTCCCGAGTAAACACGGACCGAATCACTGACCATGATGAGTCCACATGTTATCGTTCAGCAGAGAGAACAGATGAAAGGAAAAGCTAAAGGCGAGAGCTAAAACGAACGACAGGGAAATAAGGAAGTGACGAGACAGGCTTCTTTTTTTTTTATTTTTACAGTCGCTCAGTTAACAGCACTTAACCAATAACCTATATCTCTCATAAGATAGTTTAGGATGTTGTTTTTAGTGAAGCAGTAAAACAACAAACTATACTTCAATCAAGTTTTTTGACTTAAATTTCTATCCAAAAATTTTGCAACAAAAAAAAGACAAATTAGGAACCAGACTTATCTCAGAAGTTAATATTTAAATCTCATATCAAAGAATGCTTACATCTTATTTCCTCCCTCTTACACGCTACATTTTGTTGCTCAGGTTGGTATCAAAGCTCAAGGGCTTGAGTTACAAGCAGAGATTTATTGCAGGTTCAAAGATCTCTGACAGCGCCACGCTCGGTTCTTCAACTGCGACGAGCTGATATGACCTTGGAGAGGTTAAAAGATCTAAATAAACTTGGATTTCATTTTTCTGCAATGTGAAAAATGTGTTTGTGGAGGTTTGCCAGGTAGCTGATGGCAGCAGAATTGGGTTTGCAGAGCTGCAAGTCAAATCCTCAGAGGACTTCTGAAGCAGTTACCTCTGATAAAAGCAAAGTTGAGAAAGACCTCAAACCAACAATCKGCCATCGTCACAAAGGGTGGACGCTTTGAGTTTGTGCTGCAGGAGCAGAACTGTAGCACCAAGTAATCAATAAACTCCCTTGTTTCTAAAAAGTTTTCTACGATTAATTACGAGCCTCCATGTGGCCGAAAGCTGGAGTTCGGCCTAAACTGAGTGTCTTGAATCATTATATCCTGYCAATCCAATGTTCACAACCCTCTCAGTGCTGGCTGTGAGCATTTACAGGAGGGGAGTCCATCTGATTTTCAAATTTGTACTTTTACTCCTTTAATACTGATACTGCACACACTAAAATTGAGTTATTAATATATATATTTGATAAACTGTAAAAAAAATGAAATACTACAAACTATGAACTAGGCTTGTGCAAAATGGTATTGTGTGATTTACCATCCGAAAACTGTCACCGATTAATACTTGCCACTTTCCGATTACTGTGATAAGTGCTGCTGATGTATTTGTGAGTGAATGTGAGTCCATTACATAACAACAATGGCAGAAGGCGGCACAGAGCAGATCTTCCCTAAATAAGCTTCAGCTTCTGTTGTATGAAACTAGTTTGGCTCCGTAAGGTCTGAGCTTGAGCAGATCTGGGCCATTTGCTAGGTGTGCAACATCAAAGTGGAGACAACACACGGCAACACTACATACTTGTTTAATCACCTGAAACATCGCCATGAACTGGAGTATGATAAAAGCCAGAATATGCAGACCAAGGCCACAATATAAGCAAAAGCAAACTAGTCCATCGAATGGTGGGAACACATCTACTCAGCTGAGAATGCATGATGCACTCAGTCTGTTACGAGCAGCAAAGTGGCAAAAAGAAAGAACACGAGTTGTGGCATATTATTTACTAAACATCTGCTGCCACTCCACATTATTTTAATCTATTAAAATGAAGAAGTTAGTTTGACTGGTGATTTTCATGTATATTTTAAGCAGTTGTCATCCATTAATCATCACATTAATCGTTACTGGCTAATGCCCCAATTATTTAAGATTGATTGTTTTGCGAATATCGCTAAATCCTATAAAGAACTAAAAATAAAGTATAAAAACTTTCTTTTTTCAGTACTGTTAAGAGTCGTTAAAACTCCACTTTGGACAACAATTTCAAGCCCTAATCCTAAAGGAAATTCAACAAACAGTACTATCAGCATGGTCTCAGTTTTTTCACCYATTGCATGTTGTGAAATATCTCATGTATACTTGTATTTATTTTTGCTTTAATATTGATTGTATGCACATACAAAAACAATACATTTTATTTGTAATTCTTCATGGTTTAGTCACTCTATATAAAAAAGAAAGATACAAATGTCACCATGACAAATATTTTTTTCAAAGATTTAAGTACAATTTCACTAAAAGCTAAATGAAAATTGGTCCCACCGCTTAAAAACTAAACAAAACAACTGCAACTTCTTTTAAAATTTGATCCCATCCACATCCAAACACTGCGTGTGCCGTCGAGTGCAGCCTTTTGTTTTCTAGCCATCTGACTTTAAATGAATGGAACCTAATTTGCTTTGACTTCTTTACCAGGTGAATAATATGCRGGTAACAATCACGCTTAAAACTTGGCATGTTCCTATCAACTCACCACCGGCTCTCATATCAGGTCTCTTTCCATTTTCCACCCAGCAGAGTCAACATACTCATGCTGCAATGGTATTATCTTCATTCAGATACATTTCCTTTTGTGTGCTTTATGGTGACGCCGAAACAAAAGCCGCGTTGCTTGCAGAACGTTTAAAGTCTACGTTAAAAGCTCTGCAGTACATTCCAATTTTTGCCTCCTTTTGTTTTAATTTTCAAGAAGTGGATGATGTTAAAACAACCAAATGATGCAACCAAATGTTTTTCCTTTCATTTCCTTTCTGCTCGTTCCTTCCTGCTCGCCTCCCCCCCACAGGTGAAATGCCAGCGTCAGGTGTCGCTCTGAAAGCGGAGCTGCACTCATGACTTATAGATGACTCACATCATTTCCAATCAATTCGCAGMGCTGCCACAGCGTGCAATAAGAGCCACTTAGCGGGCAGATAGGCCTATACCCAGAACTCTCCAGAGTCAATGGCTAGTGGTAAACGTAGCACCCTGGCAGACGATCAAAGTCTTACACGACCCAGATCAATCGGACAATCGCTTTACAGACCAATTAAGCAATTAAGTTTGACGTACAACCCTTCCCAACCTGAGATGAACAAAAAATGGCAGCTTTTGATGGAATATATAACTTCTAACTCCAAACTACCATGAAGTATCACCCAGACATCCTCTCACTCTGAGCAAATAGTTTCCAAAGTTTATTCAAAAAGCCCAATATTGACGATGGTCTTGATAAAAGAGGGACTGATGCAGTGGAGGATGAAGGACAAACAAGTAATAAGCCCTCAGCAACTATGGAGCRAGCAAGTGGCAGCAAGGAAGTTAGTTCATACTGTATTTTATGTGCAATTGCTTAATTCTGGGATGAACCACATCCTGCCCGCGGATGACTTCCGCCTGGCCCGCCAATGATTAAAAAATAAAATAAGTTTCATTTTTGGAGGGGAGGTAGACTATCTGTCTGTTTAGAGACTGTCTGCCATGAAGGATTTTAATATGGCCAAGACAAATTTCCCCTTGGGGACAATAAAGTACAGTATCTATCTATCTATCTATCTATCTATCTATCTATCTATCTATCTATCTATCTATCTATCTATCTATCTATCTATCTATCTATCTATCTATCTATCTATCTATCTATCTAAAGTACAGTATCTATCTATCTATCTATCTATCTAATATACATCACCACTGCAACACGTTGCACAAAGCTAAATATGAGAAATTTACTGAAGTCGCCAGAATGTAAACAACGACTTCTTACCAGAAGTACGCAGAAATGTGCACTCAGGGAGTTACATGTGTTCATCTGGCTGATGTGGATTATCTGTTTAGCTTGTTAGGAATAAATATAAATTAAAATGAATGAAAAAAAAACGCTATTAAAGGTGATGGGTAAAAAAATAGACAGACAGCAAAAAAGTGTAGCCCAATCTCTGCCTGATATGATCCGTGAAGAAACTTTTAAACCCAACAACTTCCAAACATAATGACTCTGATGTCTTTTTTTTTCCTGCTTCACCTGAGGGGAGCTGATAACGGATCAGGTGGGAGGACCTGTGCATCATTTGCATCACTTGTCTACTGTTTGAGTGATGGGAGAGGTTTGCATGATTGAGATCGTTCTGCTGTTGATAACAAGCAGGTTTATTCAGGAAGGTACGAGCAGCGGTCTACCCAAATATTGTTACAGATCGCTCTAAATGTCATCTGTTCTTTTGGTCTCAACGCTGCGAGGACAGGCGTGGTGCTGCCAACACGGAGCCAGGGAGGTAGTGGTGACCATCTGCTGCACGAAGTGATGCGAGCCGATGACAAAAACAACATGTACAGCGGGATATTTCCCAAAGATCACAAGACGGGGCGAACCCTGTGGATATTTGGGAAATAAAACAGCTCAGGAGTGGTTCACAGAGGACCAGCTGCACAGTGAGACGCTGTGGGAACATCTTGCAACCCTTGGACATCCGACGTCTGCCATATGAAGCTGTTCTAAATTTAGAACAATGCAGCCATGCAGGGAAATGCATTGTCCTGTCCTTGCTTTGTGCACGTTTTTAATTGGAACGACTGCATGGTTGGAAAATGTTTGGAAGAGTGGACGGAGGCACCGGTGGGGACCAGTGAGCTCATGCCGGAGGCAAGGGGGGAGTCTACAAATGAAACCGAGTGGCAGAGTCTGCCTTCTCCTTTCCACTTTTCAATGTGGCCTTTATTCACCTGCGAGACTCTGGTAACCCCACCCTGTTCAAGCCACGCTTTAAAAACAGTCACACCCTGCACTTTAGCATTGACACACACACACACACCCTGACACAAGTATGCAGCAGCCAGAATAAAATGACACATTATTATATTACTGCACCACAGCAAGTGGATCCTTAAATTAAAGTGAGGATTTCGTCTAAAAGTGAAAAATCATAAAAAGATGCCTACACGAGAACGTGACACACGCAACAGCTCTCACCCTGCAGATGATCCCAGCATGCAGTGCACACATGCGGAGCTGGAAAAGCAAGTTTCCTCCTCCTTCCCATCTCTGCACAGAGCAGAATAAGGGCCACCTGGATGTTGGCCCACAATTTTCTTTTTCTTTTTAAATCAGTGTGCATGTTTTTTGTGTGTGTTTGAGTTCAGAAGGTCTGTGAGGATGCATCAGCACATCACAGAGCCAGATTTCCTCATGCTGTTATTTGCATAAGCAAAGTGAATATTGTTGTGATTTGTGTCCATAACAGCACAGTTATACACAAGGAAACCGGAGCAAGGCTACCTCTCTGATCATGATTTTTTATTTTATGTTACCAGAATCCATACGTCAATAAAAAAAAGCTGTAAATAAGTTTTATTAAACTTTTAACACAGAGCGACACCCATTTAGTGGGACTTTGAGTGCTTTGAAACTGTGAGGCTGACCTCAAATAAACCTGGTTCATCATCATAAACAGAATGTGACCCCGAACAACAGAAAGTGGTTTTGTTTGAGTTGATTGACAACAATAAAAAGATTACACTTTACCTTCWCTACCAGGCACAATCAATTATTTGTTCTATTATTTTTTATGGAGATAAGAAAACTGACTTTGTTCTAAAAACGCTTCTTGGCAATAAATCTTACACAGTTGGAAAGCCTCGTTTAAATGGTGCCACATTTGTAAGGAACATGCATTTGTGGGACGAGCAGTAGAGCTGAGTATGTGGGTTGTGCACATGAAAAATTTGCCAAATCTTCTCAGCTTATTTTACTTTCCAAAGGTAAGATGTATTGCCAAGAAGCATTGTAACAACAAATAAATAATTTACCAAACACAAATTTCCTTACTTTTTGTGCTAAGTATAGTTCCAAAATAGAAATGACAGATAAATGGTGTACAAAACTGTTAAGGAACGAGCAATGAACAGTTCAACATTTAAAATTCAATGCAGATATAAAAACGTGTTAGTGAAAAAAAATCTTTAAAATTAAAAAAAGCCAACAGTAATTTTCCAGAAAGCTGCTCACCATAAAGGGCCTTAGCGCTGAGCTTGCTGTCCGATCTGGCCACTCCACTGCAACGACAAGAACAGGACATGGGTTTACGCTGGATACCCTTCATCTTTTCACTCCCCACACCTCTGGACAGATGTCACAGACGGTCCCACTCCTCATAAACATAACCCACTAAGAATACAAGGGTGAGGTGCAGAGAGCAGACTGGTCGACACTGACGCCCAAGCATATGGAGCAGACAGAGGGAAAAACAGGGAGAGTGGAAAAGAGAGAGGGAGAGGAGGAGGAGGAGGGAGGTAGGAGCCCAAAGCAAAGCAAACAACTCTCAACAGAGCTGCTCTGTGCCCAAAGTCCCTGACCCACATCCCCTTCTCCACACAGGATCAGTGATTCTCTCATGCCTGATCAACAGAAAGGTAAATATCTAGCGGAATGTGTGTGAAACTCACTTGGCCTGCCTCGACTGAGGTCCTGGGGCACTCATGATTTCAGGCATCCACCTGGATAAAAAAAAAAGGACGAAGAGAAGAAGAATTTGAGAAACAGTGGTTTATAATGATAGACTGAGAAAGGAAATGTGTTCAAGGTTTCCAACTACCACATATTTGTCTAAAAACAGGCAGTTTAAATAGGGTTTTCCCACAAGCATTACAGTATATTTTGGACTTTTTCTCTAAATACGTTTTAAAATAATTTTTTCACAATTATTTCATGAACACAGACTTGGTCAGAAATAGCTGCACACCAACCAGACATATACTCTGCGACTAAAAAACACTTGGAAGAATGAATCAAATATGGTAAGGCTCTTTATCTCTGGGCCAAAGAGAAAAACTTCAGCAAGAATTCACATATTTACTTTCATCTACTCCAGACTGTAGCGTTTAAATAACAACCTGATAACAATGAAAACCTATTGCTGATAACAAACCTGCTCTAATAAAATTTCTCAGCTGCAGGCTGACTACATTATGTTTTGAAAGAAATGAAGCATACACTCAATTTAATCAACACCATTTAATGAGCACCAAGCTTACTCAGTTTTTATTTTTAAAACAGTATGTCCTAAAAGTGTAAAAAGTGCACTGTAAAACTGCAGTGTCTACAGTCAACCATTACCAGTATATTGTGTATTATACAAAATAACAGCAGGTCTGCAGTTTCTTATTTGGAGTGAGTAAGAAAATCAGCTATTTAACATTTTCATAAATGTCCCCAAAATCGAAAAACAAAGCAACATTGCGTTACCAGTTTTTCCAGCATCAAATCAGTTAACAATACTTTTTACAACAACACTACAACATTTCCAGTCACATTTTGTGTAAAAGTCTTCAGTCAATCCTGTTTTTTAGAATTTAATTGTAAAGTCAAACCCTATTGCTTTTTAGAGGTCCTCCTATAGCAGGGCTATTCAACTGGCGGCCCACAGGCCACATCCGGCCCGCGAGTGACCAAAATTCGGCCCGCAAATTGCTTTATTCATCTCTTCAGCCCAAACCCCCTGGTTTTCTACTTTAATTACTCTAAGTCCTTTTAGTTAAACATACACGTTTGGTGTCTACAGAAACATCAGAATCTTGGCTACAAGCTGGTAAAAACCATTTCTATAAACACTCAAGACAGTTAAAACTACAAGCAGTTGAAGATAAAATGATGAAAGTGAAAATAAAATTGGTTTAAAAAATTGGCAAGTCAGAGATGTCAAAATATTATTTGTGTCTAATAATAGGAGGCATAATGTGTTCTTTTTTATTTTTGATAATGTGTAATTATCACTACTTTTATAGGGTTCTGTATGTTGTATTCATGATTAAATGCAGAAAATAAACTAATTCCAAGGTAACATATCGTTTAATACTTGGTTTATTTAATAATAATGATTTTAATTGCTGGATGTTCGGCCCCTGAGCTGTTGACCGGCAGTAACTGTGGCCCCCAGAGGAATTTAGTCGAATAGCCCTGTCCTATAGGCATTAAAAAAAGAATTTTCTTGTACTTTACAATTTTAAGAAAACAATCTTTTTTGTTGTTAAGCCATCTAATAGTAAATTATTCAGGCTTAAAAAAAGAAAGAAAGCATAAAAATGAACCAGTGTTGTGTCGAATCAATACACATGATTTGCATTTCTTTACTTGAAACAGTGAAAAATACCCAAGATATAAATAACATGAACATCTACAAGCTGATTCCCAAAAATCTATAGCTGAAAGCATGGCATACATCATCAGCTGGATGATGAAGCAACTTTCAGGTCATGTGTCGGGTCTTTGTTTCTCTTTTGGCATGGAGCTTCTTTTTCTTTYGGGTCAAACGCTTTTTCTTGTTTCATTTTTCTAAGCACACATTAAACAGTATATTGCTACAGTCAGGTACAAAGACTGGACAGAATATTAGTGAAAAATCACCCAAAGTCCAAATAAACCCTTGAAATCATGAAGAAATGTTCAACAAGACCACTTTTCAAAACGGTTTCCTTGAGAGCAAAATATAATCAAATGAGGGTGGGTTCAAACTTATGCACAATACTGTATGTAATCTTATCAGTGCATCATAAGTGTTGTCTGACAGACATTTTATTGGTAAAGTTGCTGCTTCCTAATCAGTTCTTTTTTTTCCAACCCAAAACAGGACTCAGGTCCAGGACTCATTCCTTCACACCTCAGTCTTGACGCCTTCTGGCCAACACAGTGTGACTTATGAATGCCACAGAGCGAGGTAGTAACCGAGCCGAAGCGGTAAACGTGTGAAACTGTAAGCCAGTGCTGCGGCTCAATAATGTGATGAAGTGATTAAATCTACTCAGTGCAACCAGCCATGAGTAAAAACAACTGACTTATTACAGAGGGAATGATGATGATGACGCACAGCAACTATGGATTTAGTTTAAAAAGTTAGCTAGGAAGCAAACTGCTAACAAGGGAGATGTTGATCAAACATTTAGTGCATTAAGTTCGGCTCCACACTTCTTTTGGTTCTATGATGCTCATTTTATTTATAAAAGCTCATGTCTCTGTGGGACATAGCCGGCTCCGTTTGTGATTTATTAACAGCCAGAGTTAGCATAAGGAACGAATGAACTGTGAGACCATTTTGCAGAACTGTTTTATGGGAGAGTCTATAGTTTAAGTGTTTCACTAAACACCCATAGAGGTAAAATTGATAGTATGTGATAGTTATGTGCTGTAGCCCACCAAATTAAACAGTAGTTTAATTTAGTTTTTAAGTCTAACAAAATGCTGTARAAATACTGATGCACATCCACGGTAAAGTTACAATGCCTCCAGGGTAACAGCCGTTGAAAAGCTATAGGTGTCTYATTTAATTTGCAGCAACAGGGAAAAAGCACAAGAACAACTGGGGAWCTGTTCAGGGACAAAGGCAGACAGCAGGCTGATATGCTGGGTGTAATTAGAGCCTGCTCTTTGACGACTATATCTGCTTAGCTGAAACTAATTAACTGAAATGCGGGGCTTCCCACTTAGACGCAGCAACTATTTGATTGGGGTTGACAGCACGGCCTCCAAGGAGACAATGTGTAACAGAGCACTGCGTCTAAATCGGAGAGATTATGAGGAGCATAAAAGGAGAAAACAAAACCCTCCCACACCCTTCCGCCTGGAGCTTTTAACTTCAGTGCGTGCACAGACAGGTTACGCAACAGACAGTTTTCACCCTGGCTGAGCAGACAATAGTGTTCTTTATGTGTGGATGCTAACGAGATGCAACGCAGAAGAAAAAAAAAATCTAACTGCTCACCTGGTTTCATTGTTGTCAAGACTGATTTTTAACTTATGTCAGTGTCAGTTTCTCATAGTTATTTACAATACAGACCATAAGTTTGGACACACCTTCTAATTCAAAGAGTTTTCTTTATTTTCATGATTATGAAAATTGTAGATTCACACTGAAGGCATCAAAACTATGAATTAACACATGTGAAAATGTATACTGAACAAAAAAGTGTGAAACAACTTAAAATATGTTTTATATTCTAGTTTCTTCAAAGTAGCCACCTTTTGCTTTGATTACTGCTTCACACACTCTTGGCATTCTCTTGATGAGCTTCAAGAGGTAGTCACCTGAAATGGTTTTCCAACAGTCWTGAAGGAGTTCCCAGAGATGCTTAGCACTTGTTGGCTCTTTTGCCTTCACTCTGCAGTCCAGCTCACCCCAAACCATTGTGATTGGTTTCAGGTCCGGTGACTGTGGAGGTCAGGTCATCTGGTGCAGCATCCCATCACTCTCCTTCTTGGTCAAATAGGCCTTACACAGCCTGGACGTGTGTTTGGGGTCATTGTCCTGTTGAAAAATAAATGATGGTCCAACTAAACGCAAACCGGATGGAATAGCATGCTGCTGCAAGATGCTGTGCTAGCCATGCTGGTTCAGTATGCCTTGAATTTTGAATAAATCCCCAACAGTGTCACCAGCAAAGCCCCCCCCCCCACCATCACACCTCCCCCTCCATGCTTCACAGTGGGAACCAGGCATGTAGAGTCTATCCATCCACCTTTTCTGTGTCGCACAAAGACACAGTGGTTGGAACCAAAGATCTCAAATTTGGACTAATCAGACCAAAGCACAGATTTCCACTGGTCTAATGTCCGTTCCTTGTGTTCTTTAACCCAAACAAGTCTCTTCTGCTTGTTGCCTGTCCAAAGCAGTGGTTTCACACAGTCTCCTCTTAACAGTTGTTCTAGAGATGTGTCTGCTGCTAAAACTCTGTGTGGCATTGACCTGTTCTCTAATCTGAGCTGCTCTTAACCTGCCATTTCTGAGGCTGGTGACTCAGATGAACTTATCATCCACAGCAGAGGTGACTCTTGGTCTTCCTTTCCTGGGGCAGTCCTCATGTGAGCCAGTTTCTTTGTAGAGCTTGATTGTTTTTGTGACTGCACCTGGGGACACTTTCAAAGTTTTCCCAATTTTTCGAACTGGCTTGACCTTCATTTCTTAAAAAGGTATCATATCATGCTTTTAAATCCTTCTTTTTCACGTCTAAATCATTCACTTATGGTCTATTTAAAATAAAACTGCAATGCTTTGGTCTTAATTCCTCGTTTTTGTTGCTCCAAAGACTCCTTGCTTTGCTTGCTTTACATCTGTTCTGAGTTGCGCCTCAGAGCAAGCTGTTTTGGTGCGGTCACTTTAAATGCAAGTGAGAAATTTCACACCCCGCCCCCTCCAGATCGCTGAGCGTTCGACTCCACCCAGTTCGGCCATATTTGTAGTTTCATAGCAAAAACACAGTTATCTACCAACTAAAAACTGTTTTTAAGATAAAATAATATAAGAATAATATAAGATAAAACTTTATTGATCCCACAGTCTGGAAATTTGCACATTACTGCTGCTTAATACAAGAGAGGCTGAGAAGAATGAAAGATTAATAAAAGATAAACAAAACCGCACAATATACACATGTGATATATAGTAATGTACCAATGCACATATACACATATACTGTACATAAACACATATGCTTATTCATATACATAC